TTGATGTGGATTTCAAATTATTGCTTCAGCTGTATTTTTCAGCACTATAATATGAAAACAAAAGCAAAAAGTGTTAAGTACTTTTCCTAATGGCACACTTGATATATGTGAAAAAAATGAATGAAATAGATTTTCTTATTCAGTCATAAGTGGATAATGTAAAAAAAAAAAATTCCAGAGTAAAGATGTAGAATATTGTGTTAAATTTATATGCTAACTAATTTGAGCAATATAAGCAATATGTTACAAGTCACTGGATCCTGCAGAAAAGAAAAGCTTTTATCTCACAGAGCTGAATGGGATAACTCACTAGATCCAGAAGAAAAAGAAAAGCTCAGCAGATTGGTATAAATCAATTGGTTCTGCAGAAAAACAAAATCTTCTGTCTAACAGAGCAATTTGGTTTAAATCACTGGATGCTACACAAAAAAAAAAGAGCAGAATGGTTTAACTCACTCAATTCTGCACAAAAACGTAAAAGTACCTCTGTACCTCTTAAAAGGGATATTTATCAATACATTTGTGTCATTTCACCCAGAGCTTTCAAAATATATAAGCTTACCTATTTCAAAAAAGGTTCTCATAGATGATAGAAAAAAGGTCAATCCAAGATCCGGGAATAACTAGAATAACGTGTTTCTAGATGAAGATAATGTTAATGACAACGATAAAGAGGATGATAAAGACTGATAAAGATAATGATAAAGATGAAGATCTTGATAATGATAATAATGATAAAGATGATGATAAAGATGATGAAAATGATGAAGATAATGATAATGATAAAGATAATGATAAAGATAATGATAAAGATAATGATAAGGATAAAGATAATGATAGTGATAATGATAATGATAATAGTAATGACGATGATGATGGAAGCAGTAATAATAATGGCATCTTACAGACCCGCCGTTTTTGTATCTGCAGGGATTGGAACCTTTGTTCGATGAATGCAGTCTCTTAGCATGACAATGAGTCTCATTTCTTCAGTCATGAACGCCGTTTGTTGTTAAGAGCATTTAAAGAGTGTCATAAGCCAATTCAAACTAATTACAACAACCAATTTGAGCCAGGTAAACTATCACAAAGAGCAAATGCAAACTCAAAATAAAAGCAAGCAAACAAATGAAAAAAAAGAACAATTGAAGCAGGGGGAAAACGCGAGTGACAAAAGCGCTGCTGGTTTTGGTTTTGCATCTGATTGGTTGGAAAAGAGGCAGGGTTCTATAGACCAAGGATACAGCGGAGTAAAGAAAAATCAAAGCAATCCAAGAAAAGTTTCTACACTTAGTTGAATATTGCCTTATCAGTAATCTAAGAATCATTAAAAATATTATAAAACGGTTTCTCTCTCAACTAAAAGAAGTGTATCCTTGTAAACGGAGTCAGGTGCCGTTTCGGCTTCAGAGACCCTCCACGAAGAGTCTTTTTTAAATCCCAATTGCCTCCTTGCTATAGACTGCTTTCTAATCATGTAGTTCACCCCAAAAATCATGAGTGAAGAAAATAATGCCACAGAACCGGCAATGTAAAATGCTTTATCATAGGAACCGAATGCTTCATGCAGCCAACCTGAAAACAAAGAGCAAACTTCGGGTTAGTCTCGACCCTTTTCATTTGAACGGATGAATCGAATCAGTCTTAGCAACAGAAATAAAGATAAAGAACTCGCTTTGCTTCGCATCTAATTAACTGAGAGGGTGGAGCAAAAACCTTAGATCAATTACGGACCCTATAAGAGCAATTCCGGATTACAATCGACATTTGTTTGAAAATTTCACCATCTTTTACACAGCTGATCACCTGCAAGCGGAGGTCCAAGACTCATTGGTATCGCCAGAGTTCCAAACATGTTTCCCACTGCTTGAGAAAGCTTATCGCGTCCGACCACATCACCCGTAATCACCGCCACTTGGCCCACAAAACAGCCGTCAAAAAATCCAAATGTCAGAGCATAACCCACAAGTCCTGCATAGTTTTTGACCAGAGGACACAAGAGAGTGCTCAATCCAATAGAAAATATCGAAAATTGGTACAGGTAGAGCCTGTTGACGAATTTAAAGTCGGAAATCTTGCCAAATACCACTCGACCAAGCGTTGAGGTGATGGATAGAAAACCAATCAGCCAAGCGCCTTTAGAATTTGGTACTCCTAAATCTTCGGCATACTTCACCTGCAGATAATAACGAGACGAATAAAGGTGATAAGATTCTACCAAAAAAACTCTGGTGCCGCGTCGGTGGAGGGAATTTTAAAATAATTTGGTTCAATCAACTGGGTTGATAATGGAAATTGTCCACCGAAAAGAGTTTCAAAGGCTGGAGTTTCGAGCGGTGGCCCTTAATTCTTCATAAGGCCTACGCTTTTGACATCAGCTTTAAAAATTATCCTCCTAAATTATCTTTAAACGATGATTTCTTATGAGATCCCGAACGGCAGTCGATAACTTATTGAGTTTTGTTGAGTATTAAACAAATACATACACAACTTACCAGGTGAATAAATGGAATGAGATAACCAAATTGAAATACAGCTACAGTAGTAACCCACAAAACATACGCTTTACTCTTCCATATTGAAGTATCAAATAACTTGGTACATTCTCTTCTTTCTTTTGGTTTAAAGATCATAGCTGCAATACATAACAGTCCAGCAAACCCGCTCAAAATGTGCATGGAGTGTTTCCATCCGACTGATGTCAGTAGGTAATTTATGACCGGCCCGGCAACAAGAGAGCCCACTCCACTTCCGGATGTTGCAATCCCATTGGCAAGCGCAAATCTTTCATCAAAGTATTCATTCAGGACAACGATGGACGACGTAAAGGAGAAACTAGAACCTAGTCCCCATACAAGCCCGTAGGTAACATACATCATATGAACTTCCTGTACGAAGGAAGTTAGGAACAACCCTGAGACGGATAGTAACGCACCAGCGAAGGTCACAACGCGGCATCCAAAACGATCACACAATGCACTTGATATAGGACCAAAAAAGAAGTTTAAACCAATGGCCATGGCACCAATCCAAGCTATGGAAAGAAATAAAAAACATAATCTCAATTTATGAAGAAATATGTTATTGAATTTGTCACGGGCGTGGAGCGGAGGGAATTTTTGTGTTCTCCCACGCTGAATCGATCTTAGACCTCACGCATACCATCGTCCATATGCATCACACTCAAAAAGCATTTCATGTAAATGCTATGTATCTTTGCCTCTAAAATCTTCACGTTCTTATCCTTAAAGGTATTTTAGTCTACACTGGACAAGAATTGGAGGAATACTATATACAGGATATCAAGGAATAAGTAAAATAAGAGCCTCGAAGGGAAAGGCGCAGACAGAACGCTAAGACCCGTGCGAACTAACACCCAAGGAAATTGAGGAGTCTACCCTCTTTCATCCTTTCACTCCCAAGATTTAAAAGACAAATCTCCTCATTGTTAACCTTCCATTTCTTGTACATGCAATTTTATAGCTCTGAGAAATCGGTTCTTCATCAATACAATATTTCCCATAGTTGATATTTTTGTCGCCTCTCATAAACTTTCTACGTGTACGTGTTGATATTGTTAGAAGGTATTTTTTCTTTAGCTGCCTGGGAATGAAAGTTTTAACTCTCATATTTCTAATCTGTCTTAATCCCTTTGAATGCAATCGACACCAAACGATAAAAAAAAAACAAAAAAAGAACGACTTTTCCTCTTCATGACGAAGGTAGCCTTACTCACAATGCTTTGAACTCTTTTGAAAAGTGATTTGTTTGTTCGTGGAAAGGGAAGGTATTTACTTGCGCTGCTTCGCAAGCGAGATACAGCGGTTCTGGTTGGCTACTTAAACAGGCTACAAGGACTCATCTTGCCAGCCAAGGCTTGCTCACTTTGTTCTTGACAACAAAACGGAGAATAATGAATACCTTTAGCTTGGTCAAAGCCTTCATGACGTCCAATGTTTATTTTTAAGAAGTTGAAGAAAAAATATGCGGCAACGACTGTTTTCACACCCATGTACTTGCCAAAAAACAGAGATCATATTTTTGAAGAAAAAAAAAAGACGAGTAACGTGATTTTTGAGCATATAATTTCCCTTTGGGGCTTATAGGTAAATCGATGAGAAAACGATAGGAAATTGTTTTCCCGGCCTTAGTTAGTCTTATATGAATAAGCATGCACTGTCAAGATGCTGCTGCTAATGTTTTTTTTAAACACTTGTTTTGTGAGCCTCACGCTGGGTCCATAACGCCTTACTTGATAAATTCTGAAACAGGCCAATCCACTCTCTGCTGGCACTGATTGACTGATTCCGGCATCAGAGTTTTGAAACCTGGTTCAAAAATTCTACAGTTTCAGTATTAGTCAACGTGTGACTTTGAAAACTTCTGCCAAACTTGCTGTCAATCCCTGACGCTATGACAATAAACAAATAATGCACGTGCTTGGGCTGCGTATCAAAGGTCTTCAATTAGAGAGTCTTATTGGGGTTAACCGTCAGCTAAAACTGGCCAAAAAATTTAGCCGTTATAAGTAAAAGTTGACAAATCTTAACCGTTACTAGTTAAAAAGTTAACCTTTCAAAATTGTCTTTTAATCGCAAAGGAAGGAAATTAAACGTTAGCCATAAAATGACCAAACTGTTAGCCGTGAGAACCATCACCAACGTACCTAAAGCATTGTCGCCCTTCTCTAATTTGTCCATACTTGAGGCGCCACGAGATCTTGTAACTCTTTTACCCAAAACAAAAAGTATTTTGTGTTGCATCAAAAAGAGGAGAAAGTTATCTTAAATCAATGTTCTATCCGCTCTGATCCAGCCGAAAAAGATTCCAAATAAAGTGAGCCAATATACAGTATTCCAACATTTCCAAACGTAAGTTAGAGATAAGTTACTACCTGTAGTAGCTGAGCAAGAAGTGAAATATCAAGCAACAACTGTTGATTGTGTTTAGAGAGAATAAAAGATGCTGCCTGTTAATGGCACACCGTGGGGAAGTAAAAACAGACTAGAAATTGGGATGATTTTGAAGCCAATCAGAGATTTTTTACTCCAAAACTCGCGACGACATGCTGATATCCAC